AATGGTTTAATCAAACTTTTTGTATCACTTCCGGCTAACTCGTGAAAACGATTTTGACTTCCGGTTGAATAGCTTCCGGTGTAATTGATATATCTCAACAAAATGTATGCTGATCAGTAGTCATTTATAAGACAAAAAAACGAAGAAAAAAAAATCCGGACCGGAAGTCATACTTTGGCCGCCATATTGATATGATACACTTTTGTAAAACTCAAAATGGGGCCTTAGGGTAGAGATGGATGTGAGTAATTTTGATGTATTTGTTAACTGCAATCGATTACCCAAAATTGCTTGGAAGCCGATTTTTGAATTTCGTTTTTGCTTTTTTGCAATTTCCGGTTGAATTTTTTCGATGTTTGGAGGCTCATATCTCATGACCTTGACCTTTAATGACCTTGACCTTCATTGGGTCAAAGGCCAATGACCTTGGCTATCACTTGATGCTTTGAAAGCTGGCATCCGATATCTACTTCCGGTTTTATGAGTGTCTGAAAACAGCAAAATTTGCAGGTTTGAACTGCTCCAACACGTGACCTAATTAACCTAGAGTGTTAATTTTTTCAGATTCTTTAGGTGTATCTCATGCTCTTTCCAGCGATGTATAACAATCCTATTTTTAAAGCAAATTGAAATTCGTATATTTTTAAAATTTGAATGTTTTTCACAATATTTTTGTCTCTTTGAGCTTAGTTTATGTATATCTTATCACCTATTTCATCTAGAATCTAGAAATTTGGAACACTACTAGACATTTATAATATGAATAGAACTATGACAAAATAGTTCATGTGGGCGTGGCACATCCGGGTCAAACTGCAAATCGTTTAAATCTAAGGTAGGGGCATAACTCGCATAGTTCAAGTTTTTTCAAAAAGGGACTTTGCACACAATTACATCATCCATTTGGCTAGATTTTGGCAAAAGGTCAGTTGTTTCAGCTTTATAGTTCAAAAAAAGGAACGGGTTTTAGAATTTCCATAATTTCAATTTTTGACATTGACCTTTGTTGACCTTCCTCTTTACAAGGTCAAAGGACATTGACTTGGGCTATTCGCAGATACTTTCATTTCTGACTTCTACTTCCGTTTTCACAACTTTCTCAAGAGAAAAATTACGTAACTTTAGACTGCTCTAGCACGTGACCTAATTAACCGAAAAGGTCCATATTTTCAGAGTTTCTTGCAATTTGCCACAGTAGCAAAGTCCCACTCTGTGCCACGAGTGGCTCTAGTTTTTATTGTATTGCGGAAATATAACACAGTGTTTTTAAACATGTTCTAGTGTTTTAATAAGTTTTCTTATTATTTTTATTGTATTGAGGAAGTGTAACACCTTGTTTTTTAAGCATGTTTTTAGTGTTTTAATAAGTTTTCTTATTATATTTATTATTTCAATCGGGTATGAGTTGCTTAGAATAAAACAGTTATAAAGGTCGTATTACTTTTTATTAACTCTCCTCTAATTGGCTGTTTGTTTTTTTTGTCTGTCAATAAGCTTCAAGCTTATTAATATTCATGAGTACGGATTCATTGAGACAATAGTTTTGTGCCAGTTGTGGAACCAGTACACCTATTCGCGGCGACTTCAATGAGATACACCCATTACACTGACCAGTATAAAAATCTTTGATCTGTTGATATCTTCCTGGGTACTCCTTTACACTTACTCTAGTATAGTTAATGGTGAGTTACCGCCGCAAATGCGGTTTTTGACTTCTTTTATAATCTTAGTAATTAACTGGGATTTTGATGAAATTTGGTGAAGTTGTTTATTATCACCCAAGGATAAACCCTATTGAAAATGAAAAAAATCGAAAAATATTTAATATGAGTTATTGCTCTTGTTCTGCAAAACGCGTTCAATTTTTTAGCTTGTAAACACTCTACAGGCCACAATTTTTAATGGATTTTGATGAAACTTAGTGAAATTGTGTATTATCACCCAAGGATGAACCCTATTGAAAATCAGACATATTGAAAAATATGTAATATGAGTTATTGCCCTTGTTCTTCAAAACGCGTTCAATTTTTAGCTCTTAAACACTCTGCAGGGCACAATTCTTAATAGATTTTGATGAAACTTTGTGAAATTGTGTATTATAACCCAAGGATGAACCCTATTGAAAATCAAAAATATCGAAAGTTATTTGATATGAGTTATTGCCCTTGTTCTTCAATGTTCATTTTCAAACAAAGCTGCCAGTGGGCGTATTTTACCTTGCCTGGCAAGCTATCTTATACAGTTTTTATGCACATGCAGAACATGCTAAAGAGGGAAATGTCACTTTCACTAAATTTACGATTTTTCCAGGAAGTGATCACATGTTCCCGGTATTTTGTATCAACTATGCTGTGTTTAGGATGTGCAATACGAATTGCCATGT